TGCGTAGAAGAAACCGCGTAATGACGAAGAAGCTTTTCGATTTCTTTTCTGGGAGATTGTACTTGTATATCTTGCGGAACGGTGCGGGTGTTCGGCGGTCGTGGGTCGAGAGGCGGGAGAGGTTTGATTGGGACTTCAGGATTTTGGGGAAACTGAATTTTAGTGGGAAGTTCGGATTATTGTGCACCGAAGTCTTTGAATAGTTTGCTCGAGGGAACGGTTGAATGGATGTTCCAATAGCTAGTTATTTGAGTATTTGAATGCTTGAATACTTGAATATTTGGACATTTGAACATTTGAATATCTGAATATCTGAATATCTGAGTATTTGAATACTTGAATATTTGAATATTTAAACATTTGAACATTTGAATATTTGAATATTTAAACATTTGAACATTTGAATATCTGAATATCTGAGTATTTGAATACTTGAATATTTGAATATTTGAATATTTGAATATTTGAATATTTGAATATTTGAATATTTGAATATTTGAATATTCGGATATTTAGATATTCCGATATTTGGATGTTCGGATATTTGGATATATGGATGTTTGGATATTTGGATATTTGGATATTTGAATATTTGAAATTAACTTTTCATTAAAAAAATTAATATTGACTTTTCTAATGCATGGTCCGCGCAACACTGAGAACAATATGCATATATACTATTAGACATTTAGATTGATGTATTCAAACGATAAACGTCAAACATTGAAATCGACCCCTAATCTCGGATACCCGCACATCCCGAACATGTTGCTACTCGTATACAACGGTTCGTTTTATTGAGCGGATTTCTCAAAATACTGAGAGTGATCGTCGTATGTGTATTCACCTTTACCTTGTAAGGTACCAGAAGGTTTGCGGACGGCGAAACCGAATTTTCAATGTCAATTTCTCGTAGGTCTCGATCCAACGGCGACACGGTAGTCATTTCTGCGGAGGTACTTACATAGCACCGAGATTCGTTTTGTCAGCCGCTCATTGTATGGTCAGGTGCGTTTTTTAAGACTGCAAACAAATTCTCAAGCCGACCGCTCGTCACCGGAAAATGGTAGCATGGTACGTGGAACATCATATTCACCGACGGTACCGTTTGAACTCCGCTTAACCAGGATCTAACGATTAATTCATGCGACCGTAGCGTACGAATGAGAACGCGATCTTTTCATATATTCTGCTTAACGAACGAAACTCAGTTTGATTAGCTAATTTACTTCAATAATTGATTACTCTATCCTTAATCTCTGGATGGATCTTCTAAATCCATAATTAACTGCACACGGATTTCACTCCATAATCGTGATTGGAGTATTACAAATATTGAACGATATCAAGGGCAATGAGAGTATTAATACGTCTATCCATTCTAGAATGAAGAATACATGAGATCTACATGTCAAATTCTTAATTATCCATTATCGTGCCGCAACAAATAGGTCAATGCTCTTTAAAAAAAGAATTGTTCCTAGCTAACAGACAAATCATTTTGATTATTTAAATTCATTGGTCCGCTTAAGTGAAATAATTTATGTCTATGTCTGGAATCGATCTGCCCGAAGTACTTGATACTATTTCGGTGAAGCGTCGATTTCTTTTCGCAAACCGCGACGAAGGGATCCGCTGGTTCGTTGAAACGAGCTGTGCGATGAAACGGCGCGCAGTTATTTTTTTTATCACGAACGTAGATAGAAAACAACGATATCGTCTCAAATAAACGGCGTATAAATTCACTGCTGCGTACACAGAGCGTGATACGTAACGTTGTGTTTGAACAAATTTTTATTCGTTTCAGCGATTACGGAAAAGTCTTTTCAAAAGAAACATGTGTCTCTTTTTAAGAGTAGAAGATATTGGAGTAAAAAAGATGTTTCTTTCGAATTTATATTCTCCAAAATTTCAAGATCATCGACTTCGTTCCTTCTTTTAGCGGATTCACATCTGTCCATTACGTAACGTTCGAGTCAATAAAAAGACGAATTCAAGTGTAATTGACCAATCAGATGAGGTTCGATGAAATTATTGTTGCGAGACGATATTAAGTGCACACTTATTTATTGAAATATTTATTCGTTATTACAAAAATGCGTTCGTTAAGATTCCGATTGATTTGTACTTCAGTTACTTCAAATACTTTCTGATTACTTATTTTTAAGTACTTTATTTTAAATTACTTACCATCGAATAAGCAAATGAATTACTCATTCTTTATTCACGTAAGAATTGCAAAAGCTGAAATGCAAATTGATAGTTCTAGTGTTGAGACGCGCGAGAACTAAATTTTCATGCTGACGTGAACCGTGAGCTTAGACAAATATTTTGATCTTTGATAAATGTTTCCATTTCGCGGCGCGGAATATTTCAGGTTCCGCTGTCGCGTGACACGCTTTGTCACGTGTGATCGCGAGCTACCATTTTCACGGTAACGGGGCAATCTCCGCTCGTAGCGCTTTCATTGCTATCATAGAACACGTATGCTGCTTTGTGGAGACGGCGACGAGCGCGCTCTCCACACAACACTTGTGATCTACTAGCGAATGGTTCTACCTAGGGCTAAATCGTCGACTATGAATCTCAATTATTAAATCAATTAATTAACGACCTCGGCGATTGTCTTGTGCCTCGTATCCACCTACTGAACAAAAACAATCTCTTAATTAACGCGAATTGCCTTCTCTCTCGGACCATACGTTCCTATTTTTATAATTAAACTTGTAACAATAGAGCAAGCATAACATTAATCGAATTTTATTAAAACCATAGGTACAGTAGCTTTTTCGTTTCTGTTCGTAATTTCTAAAATACCTTTGTTGCAAATGTATTTTGATTAATATTTTAGACCTCGTTTGAAAGGAGTTACACATAGAATTACGGATTAATTACGAATTGATCGAATGGAAATTTACATGAATTTGATTTGAAACTAACATTGAAATGTTCCTCGGATAAGCAACAATATATTAGAGATTCGTGATCAAGAGAGAATTCACGGTTATAATCAAGAGATCCAATATGTTCGCTGGTTGGATACGCGGATCAAGATTGCTAACCGTGCGATCTAGAGTAGAACGTCTGTGTTGAGTAAATCCTAGATAAAGAAGAGAAAAAAAAATAAGAAATATGATGTTAGTTGAATATCGTTGTTCGACGCGACGAGTGATAAGAAGGCGAACAAGCGAAATTGTACACACACGGGAGGAACATCAATTCGTGGGTTAGCGTGTTATATGTAGCCAGAGTACATGTTATGTTTTCGTTTGATTTCCTTTTCATTGGATAGTAGAGAAATAAAACGAAATTTGCGTCCCCGGTTGTAACTTTACAAATCCGCGAGTGAGCGTACGTGCCAGGGTGCAAGGAATCAGCAGTGAAAGGGTTAGCTGCGCTAACATCGACCGATGACGGCTGGAGCGATGAGATCACGGGAATCGTTCGTCAAGGGACATCAATGATTGCTCGCTACACGCAGAGGATTTGAGAATTTCCTATTACAAACGGAGAACTTTACTGGCAATTCTATTCAATTATATTTGCACACTCTCCCAGTCACTAATTTCATTTTCAACATTTTTCTACGCAACCGTGCGGTATCTCCCTTTGTTGCTTAACGCGTGCTAAGACCAAATCGACGAGCTTAAACATGAAATCAATCAGAGGCAGAGGGAGATTTTCAATGAAAAGCGAAAACTGAGTTGCGTATAAAAAGATGAAAACGATATTGGACAGTAACGATGGAGGAGAAACGAGCTAATACGTAAATATGAGATTGATCAATTTTATTACCTCTTTCGAGCATACTATTACGTATATTTTGTTTATACATAAAACTCGTAGTTGAATTTTGACAATTAACTCGAAGCTAAGAATCATAATTGAGACGTGTTGTTGGAAATAATTTAATCCACTTAAGGTTAACGAATGCCTGTAGCTATTCTCTAGTCAATTAGCAGCTGCTCCAGACATGGCTGTCGTTTTCGATTATCCTACAATTAACTGCCGGTTACAGCTCCGTAATTAACAACCGTGAAAGGGGTAATACGAGAAATCAATGTTTCTCGCGTGTACTTTTTACGAAACAGAGAACAGTCAGGAAATTAGTTATTACTTTTTAAGTAGAAGTGTTTAATATTCAAGCGATTGCGAATTCTGGCAGTCCTCAAGGACGATCGGTTTTCTGGAAATATTTTCAAACGTTTATTATTCTATATTTTTCAAGAATCACTCTAGCAACTTCAATCTTCAAAAAGTACGCAATGATCACAAACGAATTAAAAAAAAATCAGAAGAAATCTTGCGAGTCTATCAAATGTTAAGAGCGACCGATCCCTTGGCGAGCGGTTACTGTTAGCGGCCCACGCGAATCGGCACTGTCTATGTATCGGTAAACGTCGAGGCTTCTCACTAAACGCTTCAACGTTGGAACTACCTATCAATTAGAACGACTTGCTTATTAACTCTCCACAAAATATGAAAAGAGTATTCTTTAAGATTCGAAGATTCCCGTTATCTTGCTTGCGACAATATTTAAACCTTCGCACTCCGAACATGTTCAATATCTTAATAATTAATTTCTATAGCGAAACTTTCAAGAACGTAAAACTTCATTTCGAAAAAGAAGAAATAATAAATATTCATGGATCGCAATCTTTCGTTTGGTTTCTTAATTTCTTTCGTCGATCTGTGTTATTCGAGTAAAAAGAGAAAGAAGTATTTTACAATTGATAATCGATCATATGAGATCCGTGATGCATTATGTCTCTATAGCAGAGCCGACGGAGTGCAAAGGGTTGAAATTGTCAATTCCAGTTAGTTAACTCGAATTCCATGGTTAATTACTAAATGTATTTCGGAACTTGCCGGCAAAAGCGTCTTGGCAAATTCGATCATTTGAAAATGGTTCGGTCGGTTCGGCTAGTTCCAGCGTTAAACGCGTTTGAACAGCATGGACGCGAGTCCGATCGCTAATTGTACGTGTTCGTTTGGATCAGAGCGCAGTCCGCCGGCAATTGGATACCGCACAGTCCGCATCGGTTCTACGCGATCGCCGGAGCGACTTACGTGCACTTCCCGAGCTGGAGTTCCATACAGATGGAATTGATAGACCGAGTGATCCCGCACAGGGGCTTTAGTTACACGAGCAAGCGTAACGATATTGGATTGTTCAGGGTGACTATTATGTGTATATATAAGTTCTATGTGGAAAATACAAATAAAAAAGTACAGTCGTGGAAAACGGTATAATGAACTTCACCCGATCGTCCATTCCGTTAATTCCTTGTCCCATGATTTCGTTCATAATTGAGCTGGATAAGAGTACTTCGTCATTCATCAGGAAAATTGGTTGGCAATTCAATAATAAAGTAATAGCTAATAATTGATTTGTTAATAATTCATCAGAAATATTCGTTCTAATGGAAAATACAAATAAAAAAAAATACAGTCGTGGAAATCAGTATTAGTTCATTCCTTGTCCTATGATTTCTTTCATAATTGAGCTGGACAAGAGTACTTCGTCATTTATTAGGAAAATTGGTTAGCAATTCAATAATAAAATAATAGGTAATTATTGATTTGTTAATGATTCATTAGAAATACAAAGGAATTCGATACTTATTCTGTATCCACGTTTAATCTGAAGATTAACGATTGATAGAAAAGTGATGTTTAATTTATATTCAGGAAAAGTGAAGAAGGTTTGGATACGTCGAATTTGGTTTAGAATTTTTATTTTAACACGATACTGTATGGCTAGAAATTTTAACCCTCACCTTTGTCTATTTATTAGCAAAATTCCTTCTAATTACCTTTTCAATAATTTTGTGTTTCACATTCAAATAGAATCGAGGCTAATGCTTGACTCGTAGTTCACATAGAAAGTTACAATACCGAGGAAGTTTGTAATTCATTCTAAAACATTAACATTGCCCGACCTCGCCCGATGGTCGAACTGTCTCGGACTTGCTGCACAGTTTCACTTCGTTGGCGTCACGCGACTCAGGAAATACAACAGGTGACAGCTCGGTGACCGGAAAATGATTTTATCTTCTCGTATTCTATCGTTCGCACTTCCATATTCTCTCTCTGTCTCCCGCGAGACCTTGCAGAGGACGGTTGTAGAGTCTCGCTTAGCCCAGTTCGACTGAAATAACTCGTCCTGGCTATCAAAGGAGACGTTAATGAGATGAAACTGTACACGAACACGTGAGAACAGAAATGGGGGATTCTTAGATTCAGATTAATACTATCCTAAATCAATACTCTTGGAATTTAGATCGCGCGTTTAAGTTCTCGGAAGTTCTCCCGAAGGATACGAGTCAGAGTCCCGGCGATATCATTGAAAAAGAGTTCCATTTGATCGAAGGGATGTATAACGAAGCGAAAATACCGTGTTCATTACATTTTACTTCTGTAAATCTACATAAGCCGCGGATTGTCCGTTAAACGTCCAGATTCCTCATATTTTCTCTGCACTTAAGAAAAAACGGAGCTCAAAGCAAACTAAGCTGAAAAGATTCGCTCGAACGACGAGGAGCGTGGGAAACGTTGGACTGTTGCGAAAAGGAAATTCGAGAAGTCGCTACATAAAAGGCGCAAGTTGTTAATTAAAGTTCACTGCGTTTCAAGGATCTTCCACGTTCTTCTTTGTTCGGGGAGAACTTCCTTCAAATGCGGCTTACTTTATTTCGGAGGTGATATTTTATGACGATCGGAGAGGTTCTCCTTTATAGCTGTAACCGTTTCTTATTCCACGGTAATCAGGGAACTCTGTCTTCCTAATCGCAAACGTTTTTTCCTTATTTTACGGTATACATTCTCCTCGTCTGCAGCTGAAGAAACCGTTTCTCATTAACTCCCACGTGAAATACGTCACCGTTCCGGAGGCGTATGACGTAAAATTATTCCAGCGATACAGCGAACCGTGCACCGTGGCTGGCTGGGGACGACACCTACCCGGATCGAACGTACGTAGTTAACAGCACGGTTATTTACTGTCAGACATAAAGGTTATTTTGTTGGTCGATGAAAGCCTGATTGTTTCGGTTCGCGTGCACTAGCTAAATGAAAATTTCACGAGGATGTCTGGAAAGTGAGTATGGACCGTAATAACGCGTGCGCGCGCGCTTATGTTTCAGGAATGTCACAAAGAGAGACGAAAGTGTTGGCATAACGATAGTTTGGACACCGTCTATCGTTTCCCGAGCATGGAAAACATAAAATGTTCATGATTCGAACAACGATTCTTACATTTTAACACGACTGTCACAAAAGACGTCAGCGTTATGTATTACTTATTCTCTTTGTAGCAAAGATAAAGAAAAGTACTAATTATTTCCTATATCAATTCTTACGTTACACAATTATCTAGTTGCTTGAGCATTTTGATTCGACATCAGTTCTCTTACGAGCTATGATTATTATCTTGTAATTTGGAAACTTCGGTCATCGGTGACCGCCGTGGCAGTCAACGTGTTAATACAAAATTACTTGATATATATTTCAATGTAATAAATTTAATTATCTTTTCTACTGAGGTTTTCTGAGGATTCAATTTTTTATTTAATTGCTGCAAGCACTTGTGTATAGAATATTTATCGTTCAGTAACATTGCAGGTTCTGCATGAATAAATAATTTAGAGACCGCACTCCAGTTGCTCAATTGAAATAATCAATAAGTAACGAATTCTACTGACATTTCTATCGGTTTTCACGAAACTGCCTTTTTTAGACGGGAGCTGGCACTTATCTACGTCACGTCCATCTTCCATTAATTCCACCGGAGAAATGTCGAATAGACAATGTCGACGAAAAAGTGAATATCTGCGCAGGTGTGGAGGAGGGCGGTAAAGATTCTTGTCAAGTAATTACTTTTATAATGACATAATATATACAGAATTATAATATATTTAGTGACTTTCACTTAGAATATTTTACATTGACCCTCTGTAGGCTTGTAATGTAACTTTGAAGTCACATATCAATATATTGGCGCCATGTTGATTTATTTCCTTTTTCACACAAAGTGGTGAATAAAATTAAATAATCAGTTAACTTGAACTTTTATACGCTCAGGCGTGAAAGTTTAACGTAATTGTAACTTGAAAGTTACAAAATATATACCTTCGATGAAATTATTGGAACTATTGAATACATTGTTAATTCGTATTCATATGTGGATATTTATTAATTTCGTACTGCATAGATTTTGTTAGAATCATCAACAAAAATTCGGCTCACAGAGGGTTAAGCTGAGAATTGCCTTTAATAATAGAAACAAATAGTACGTAGAAACGAGTTGTATTTCATTTAAGTCCTACTTGTAAACTGACATCTTGTTAACTATTTTAGACAAACGATTTTTATATGGATAAAAGCAATCTATTAATACCGCAGGGTGACAGTGGTGGACCGTTACTGTGCAATGGTACTCAAGTAGGAATAGTATCATGGGGATTCGGATGTGCTCGTCCTGGCTTACCTGGCGTGTACACTCGATTGGACGTCTATTTGGATTGGATCAATCAATCCCTACACAATAATAAGGCAGCACGAAACATTTTAAGCGTCACAACTATCCTCATCATCTTCTTCCTTGCACTATACTTATCGTTAGTAAATAATTAACGTAATCGTCCAAATTCGTACAGCACGAGTATATTATAAATATAATTTTCATACGAATTGCTAAACAAGTATTCTAGATATTACAAAACATTTTACCTGACTGTTTCCAAGAATAAATTTCAACTTCGTGATCCATTAAGTGTATCAATTAATGTAATAATTATTACAAACGAATTTCAGTATCAGTACTTTCTCTTACGTCTCGTTAGATGGCAGGGGCTGTAACTTCTTGCTATTCGAGATTGCATCACTAACCGTAACGTCAGCAATCAAATACTGGTTATTAACTAATTATTCGATTAAATAATTGTTTTACCATATACTAATTTACAGCATCTTAATTCATTAGCTGCGATTGTCATTACAATGTTCTCTGGTGTTTTAAAAAATAATTGTTTCGTGAACCGGTGCTCGTCGTATAAACAAATACAAATAAATAAATAAGGAACACGTTTTTTCATATTTCTTTGTCTTAGTATTACATTTTTCTATGTACTCGTAATTTCTTATAAACATTTGTCAAAAAATTAAACATAATTCACAATTTTAAAGTGCAATACAATATAAGTACTGAAAATGTACATAATTTACTAGCATAATATAAACAGCGAAGTTCTCTTATCGTTTTCGAAAAATTAATTTTTATTTCGTATCGCTCGTCAATACATCCGAAATCTTTTGCTTGGTTAACAAGTTGTGGACAGTCGGTACGTACCTTCAGTCTATGCAAATTCATGTTTGCCTGTAGGCAATTCAGGAAACTGCTGGTCCAAGGATCAGAGCTCGCTGGTACAGACACCGACGAAAGATAGGATAGACTTTCCTCGTCGGTCCTAGCATAGACTTAACCCTTTGCGGACGAAGATTCTTTTGAAATGTACAAATCCTTCAGCGGGTGAAATTAAATTATATATCAAAGAAAAAAAGGAAACAACGTGCTGATCTCTTGCTGTTCGAGTAATTGAATCCTCTGTTCGCGATTAAGTCTTCGAAACGTGAGTGTTCCATCTCGAAACTGTCGACATTCGTCCGCAAAGGGTTAAAATACATGGCGCAACGAAAACTCGAAATATACCGAGCTTCAAGCAGCCTGGGTAGATGGCACAACGATGCAAATATAACTGCCCATGCACTCCTCGAGGAAAAACCCTAATCATTCAACATCTTTCCCATTGAACAGAGTAAACTTCAAATCCTCGCAAACATTCAACGCTTACAGAATTTTACAAATTAATTGCAAACTTAAGGAACCAGAGAATCAACATAACCATTTTGAACGGAAACAATGAATCTGTATCGTAGCGACAGGTTTAATAAGATAATCGTCATAGACCGGTGTCTATAAGTGCGACTCGTCGAAATCCGATCGTATTAATTCATTAAGCATCGATAAGTAGAGCGAAAGAGAAAGGGGTCGATGATTGTTCTGTATACGTATATAGCACACGGGGTTGTACGATGCAAGGGGTTCCGAGTTATCCATGATAATCACTTTCATTCAGCGTATCGGCACGTCGACGCGTTATCATACGTATGCTATTATTAATACAGGAGAGACTGTATGATGTTTCTTCGGGGGTTGATTTACGCGCTTCAGCCTGATTTTTTCCCTGTTGTTGCATTACATGAACGATTATCGCGTGACAGGGGAGAAAATCATCGAGCATGCGATAATCGAATCAGTCTATCAATCTGATAATTAAACGCTCGCCGGCGTCGATGGAGTCGTTTCAATCGTGAATCTCAGCGTGAGCTGTCACCTGCCCGCCGATGCGTGGCGATACGTATAATTCCGCCGGTAGACGACCGACGGGAGCTCGATCTTCTAATTTACTCACGGCAAGTGGTAAATCATTTCGCCGATCTTTATTAATAGTAAAACCCGAGGGGGTGTCAACCGTCCCTTTAAGAAGTTAGTTTCGCAGAGTCACCCCAACGCGTCGCGCGGATGAATAACTTCGTGAGTGCGATGCGTGCACGCTAAAATTATCCCCCGCGATTAAAAATAATGTTTGTTGTTTGTTGATCGTACATTTCGAAGAAGCTAACGGTGTCCGTCATGGCACCGGTCGTTATTTTATCCATCGGTGTAGCAAGCGCATACGATTAACACTAGAACCACCAAGCAGTCAAGTTGACTTTTCAACATTTTTCTATAGAAACCCCTTCGATCGCTCAAATTTTTCTAATAACACTCGATTTTTCTAATAACGATTACAAGATTAACTGTAAGAAATGTCCAAGATTCAATCGAGGAGAAATGATTAAACTGAGAAGATAAGTTGACTTTACATTTTTCTATAGAAACCCCTTCGATCATTCGCAACTTAGTTTACGTATTACTAAAACAATTCTTTAGAAATTTCTTACAGACCTATTGTTTTTTCAATAATTGTGAAAGAAGAATTTAGGAATGGGTCATTTCGACCCATCCGGTAGTTCCAGTGTTAACGTGCAAGGAGATTCCGTTCCGCTGTTGCTGCGTATCAATCGAAACATTTTCACGATTGACGCTCGAGTATTTTGTCAAATATTGAAGTTACCACGTTTTGATATTGTATGAATGCTGGGGATCTTGACGAATTTCTTTCGATCGAGATCCCTACAGAGCGCGAGTGGCAATTCGACGCAGGCGGAAGGACAGAAGTCACACACAGAGGCTGGAAGGCGATGATGCAGCTCCGCCGTGGGGTAGCTCGCTCGCCGGTGGGTGGGGTGCGACGCAATTAGGAGAGAACATAAATCCCACAGTTTAGCACACTTCCTCGGCATCGCGGCAGATCGAAGAATACAAATCAATCGGCGTAACGGCTGACTGCGCATTTAATTTCCATTCGGCTTCTGATCCACATGAACGGAGGGGGACGGGCGGGGAGATCGGAGGAAGGGAGAAAGGCGGAAAGGGTGGGAGCGAGAGAGAAAGACGGATGATTGAGACAAATGGGACATGAACGGAGAAACCAAGAGAAATTGGGAGACCGTGCGGGAGAAGAGACGAGACGGGGAAAAAGGATTCAGGGTGGAAACTGTCAAAAGAGAAGACGGAAAGGACGAAAGTGGGTTAAAAGGAAAGGATGAGAGAGCAATTTGCGAACAGTGACGCAAAGGAGATTTAGGACACGAAGAATGGATGATTGGGCGGAAGAGGGGAGGGCATACCATGGTACAGACGTGGACGCTATTAAATTGAACGCGGACAGAGAAATTGGCGGGAATGATGGTGAAAAAGGCACGACGAACTAGAGGCGACTGAGACGGGGAAATGGACTGAAATATTTCGATGTGGGCAAGCGTAATTCCTTTAACGGAAGCTCAAAGAAATGAGTATGAAGAATATCAGAGAGACTGACACACAGTCAGCCGTCTAATATAGTTACATTTTCTTCGATGCAAGAAGAGCTGTTTTTAGTTTATATTTACACTAAGAAAGACTTACGGACCCCAATGAACACTTAGATTTACAGTGTATAAGAATTATTATATAACAACTAGTTTCTCGTTTATTGTTCTGTTTATCTATATCTTCCAACATCTTCGAAAGAGCATTGGCAACAGAAGACGCCGTAAAAATCTGCCAGTGACACGAAAGAAGAATTCAAAGAATATATAGAAGCACCGAGAATATCCACGTGATTCATGATTAAGCGTCTCACGAAAGTGTGTCGGTTTCGGGTATTAATTTATTGTAAGGATAGCGGCGGCACGCGAGAAAGGAGCAACCAGCGGTCCAGCCTCGATTCCCTGCCGCGACAAAGGGACAGGGAATTCAACGCGTCGCGAACAATTTTCAGCAGATGCCTGTGGCGCGTAGAGCCGCCAGTATCCGCTCTTATCGTGAAAATCCTCGAATCGGAACGTGCCCAATGAATGACACCGCGCAAAAAGGATTTGCCGCGTTCCACGATGAATCGACGATGATCCGATTCGCATTAAGCTCGCGACGGATCGAATTCGGCACGCATTGTTACATGGCTGCGCGCCTACCTCCTGGGAAATGAGCACATTCCGATAATTGCGCTTTCGGTGCATTGTTTACTCGCACGGCAACGAGCGGCGTGTCGCATTTCGGACATTATTAAGCCCCTGTAACAGTTGCTATTCGCGTTTCCAACGGAACATCGGCGCGCGAGATCTTCGAGGAAATTTACGGCCATCGAAACGTGTTTTGTTACGCCGAAGCTGCATTGAAAGAGTTGAGTGGAATTTTATTTATCGATACTGAAGAGGACCGGCGATGTTTAAATATTATATCTGTCTCGCATAGATTATTGCCTGGTTAATAGTCATTTTTAAGACGTAATACTACTAGAACGTTTTTTATGACTTGTGATGTAAATACAGTATACCTGGTCTGATCATCGCGCTCCTATTCTACTTATACACCGAGATTTACACCGCTTGAACTTCTACTGGAGATTATTTTACAGTATAATGAACATTACAAATCATACAATAAGATTAACATAGACACCTTCGGTTACCTTTTTTCAACGACATGAAGCACCGAGAGATACAAGTTCCTTACTGTCTAATACGTTCATAAAAATGCAACGAAACCGTCAGTTAGCAACTGAGATTCGTAATAGATACAACTACGATCACAGCAGAATAAAGATAAGATTCGTTAATTTTAACGAAGAATCATTGGGCTCGATCAATTACGGACGCGATGGTACAATATAAATCTTCAGATGTCCCAGTTTAGTTCTTTCCCCACGGAATTAAGACGAGCAACAAGCCTGCGTGTCGCTAAGGGCTAACACGGCTAACCCGGCTTACCGTAATTTCCTTCGCGTCCCCGCGCCGATTTTTTCCTGCCACACACATAGGTACCACTATCTTGGCCAGACGAGTTGGTGGCGGTCGCTGCGGGCCGAGGGGCGGCGGGGGGCGCAGGTCAAGCGGTAGGTTCG